TACAAATTTTCATTAAATATCGAAGTATCCATTTTTATTAAAAAAAAGCGCCGCAGGCGAAAATGTGTAATAAAAAATACTTCGATATATAATAAAAATTTGTAATAAATAATCGCGCGATTTTTTACTACAAATTTGCGCCTGCGGCGCTTTTTTTAAACAAAAATCGATACTTCGATATATAATGAAAATTTGTAATAAAAAATCGCGCGATATCCTTTCGATACTTCGATATATAATGAGAATTTTCAGCTGTTTAGTTATTTCCACAATTAATTATCCCACATAACAGTCTGTACTCCGTGTAAACATATTCAATATTTATTCCATTCAGATTGAGTGGCAATACCGCACATTAGCAGGTGAATTTTGCGTTGAGCACACCCATGAACCAATTAGAACAGATCTGACCGGTTGAGAAGCAGCCATTTGTAATAGCAATTGAGAAAAAAAGTGTGTGACGTTCGTAATTTTAAAGTTTGCTATTTCTGTTTTGCTTGTTTCTTTATGTGTATTTTGTCGGTGGTTTATTTCAGTGATTTTTAAGCGATTTTCAAAAAAATGTGTTGTCCAATTGTAATTAAAATGAAGTGCGCGGTGATTGGATGCAAAAACACGTACAAAAATAATAAATTGTATAGTAGCTTCTCCAGTAAAACATTGCAGCGAGAGCGTAAAAGCAAAATAGAGCGTAAAATTGAGAAGAGAAAACTAGCAGAAAAAGTTATTGAACGCAAAACAAGTCAAAACCTGCAAGTGAATAGTTGTTGCACCCTTTTGATATTCTGCTGTAAACATTTTACTATTTATAAATCAGTTTTAAACTCTTTGCTTTACACCAGAGATCGAAAATAACCGTCACCAAGTGTCCCGTATGGTGTTTACCACTGACACAAACACTCGTCTCTCAAGCAAAGAGTGTTTCCCACCGTGGCAAATCACTCTGTGCGATCTTTTTGTGTTTTCCGTTGTGGGTTATTTATCAACAGCTAAAATTTCCCTTGGGCAAAAACACTTTGGCAGGGACTTTTATTTTTAAGTGTCTTAATTTGTGGGTTATTGTAGGACTGAAAAATATAAGTGGGCGTAATAAGTGGAAGCAAAGCGCTAGGCATTTCTTTACACGACATATACGTACACATACATGTGCGAACATTTATGACAAAGAAGAGAGCGTGCACATTCTTAATATGATACACCGAAAATAAGCTATTTTATTTTATTGATAAAGAAAAGGATAAAGGCAAAGGCAAAAATAAAAACAAAAACAAAGATGCGTAAAGATAAATGCAAAAATCAAGACCAAAGTAAATTTAAAATTTTTACTAATATAAGGGCAAAGGTGAAGGGGAATATGTAATGTAGAAATTGATAAACATAAAGATGATAAAGATAAATATGAAGAAAAGATGAGGGCGAGTAAAGATGAAAATAAAGGAGGAAAGATTAAAATAAAGGTAATTATAAAGAAAATGATATAGTCACAGAGACTCAACTTGGGAACTATTTCGGGATTTTCAGTACTCTCGGGACTACTACTTGTCCCAAAAATCCCGAATTAGTCCCGAAGATTCCGAAATCCTGAAGAAGTCTCGAAAATTCCGAATTAGTGCCGCTGATCCCGAAAATCTCAAAGTAGTCACGAAAATCCCGAATTAGTCCCGAGAATCATAGTTCCGAAGATTCCGAAAATCCTGAAGAAGTCCGAAAATTCCGAATTAGCGCCGCGGATCCCGAAAATCTCAAAGTAGTCCCGAAAATCCCGAATTAGGTCCAAGAATCCCGAAATAGCCCAAGAATCTCGAAGAAGTCCCGAAGATTCCGAAAATCATGAGAAGTCTCGAAAATTTCGAATTAGTGCCGCGGATCCCGAAAATCTCAAAGTAGTCTCGAAAATCCCGAATTAGTCCCGAGATTCCCGAAATAGCCCAAAAATCCCGAAGTAGTCCCGAAGATTCCGAAAATCCTGAAGAAGTCTCGAAAATCCCAAAATAGCCCAAAAATCCCGAAATAGTCTCGAAAATCTCGAATTAGTCCCAAGGATCCCGAAGATTTTCGTGGAACTGGAAGTTGGAAGATACTTAAATATCTTATTTGCGTCGCATAACAAAAGTATGTATTATTTAAATGAAAAATTACAAATCAAATTGATTTGCTCTACAAATCAAATCAAAAATTTGTATTTCTTATTTGGTTGAAAAAACAAATCAAAAATAAATTTTATTTTTTATTTGGTCAACAAACTAAATCATAAAAATTTCTTAATTGATAGCGGATTTTAAATCAATAACATCACCGTGACGTTGACGTTGCTTATATCTCTCTATCAACAGCAAATTTGATATGTTTCTACGCACTTCTAACACTTATTTTTCTTCTTCCAGCGATAAGTGTCCGTGTCCAACAGCAACGGAAATTATATGCAAAATAACCCTTTCCCACTGAGAGGAGCGCACATCTACAAAAAATAAACCACCTGTTCTGTTTTGGGACACTTTCAAAGTGTTGACGGTTATTTTCGACCTCTGCTTTACACACAAGCACTTACACAGTCTAGTACATCATTAATATTTTAATTTCCACTCATTTTACTTTTGTTTGTGCTAAAACAATTCAACAAATGGCGGCTTTTGACATTTATTCTTCTTCTTCTTCTGCTAGCTAATTTCTGCTAGTAAAAATTTCACTAGCAAGAATTTGCAGCTCTCCCTTCAGTGCTCTCTTGCAAATTTTTTGGGTTATACACTTTTCCAGTAAAAATTTGCAGGTTCCAGTACAAATTAGTACTGACTATTGGTTACTATACAAACCTATTGCTTGCATTTTTTTCTTTATGCTTCCTCTTCATATTCTTTGTTTACTTTTCACAGAAAATAACATGGCGCCGAAATTACAAACGTCAGCCAGAAAATTACTTTTTTCTTTTGCTTCATCATGTCAGATCTTGTGTAGTTGGATCATGGAGCACACCCATTATTTAATAATACAAGGTTAGATAATTATTGACAGCCGCGGTTTGACACTCCCTTACAAAAGGTTGCATTTATGAAGGACAGAGAAAGGGGAAGAATGCAATCCCTTGTTGCGAAAATGGTAGTAGAAAAGTACTCAAAGTAGGCAATTAGTAGTGAAATTCATTTTGCAAATTCTAATGTATTTGCAGGAAATCTGGCAGTTTACACGAAATATTGAACGAAATATTAATACATCCACGTGAATTACGTAGTTTATGTGCTATTTAGCTGTATAAAAAATGCAAAAGGACTCAAAATTAAAATAAAACTACTATGAGATTTATGTAAACATCCAATTTAAAAACAATTTGGGGTTTCATCAGTTAAATGTGCTTCATATGCATATACAAATAAACATATTGCACAAAAGCTTATACTTCTATTTCACAGCAAAGCTACACTTTTTCCAAGTAAATTTGCAAAGAAGCAACACTCTGCCACTGCTAAGGGAACGGTGCGAGAGAGACAACTGTTAGTTTATCGAACCTTAGTTATACATGTTTTAGAGGATACCTTCCTTAACATCCTGACCAAGTTTCAAATGTTAATTCCACCTGGTTTTCTTAAAACACAAGGTGCGGCTGACTACTAAAGTCCACCCAAAAGCGGTCCACGGACACTGCCTTGAGGCACCCCAGAAGTAGCAACAAACGGAGCAGACCTGCAGTTTTCAATTTCAACATGAACATGAAATATGGAACACATATGTATATACATAACTAACCAATTTAAGAAAACTGAATGAGTACCAAAGTTTCTTATTTTATGAAACAAAATTGAATATGATACCTTATCCAACGCGTCGGAAAAATCTGCATAGATGCAATCAACTTTTGAATATTTGTCTGCACAAAATAAACACAATTGGGCGATGGTAATAAATGGCAAGAAAATATGGCGTATTGACATGCCATTGAGAATAGATGACATTAATTCGATAATTTCGATAACTACGATATGCTAAATTATTGGGTGTGTATAATAACAAATAGTCAGTAATAGTTTGGACTGCAACCTGCAAAGTTTTCCACGACAGCTGGGTCTACGTAATAGGAAAGACCCAGATTTATATCTGGCCAAGGACCGTCACTCCAGCAACACTCCCCAAAAGACTCTTGTAGAATTTGTATACTGTTACAACAACAATGCCTATCGACGCCGCCCGCTTTCCTGGCCTCAGGCTTGTAGAGTCTGAGGACGAATACGGCCCATGACAACAACAACAACCCATTTTTGCAACAGACACATATGCCCGTTCCATTATTTCGTGATGATTCGAACGTAGCTCGAACGGAAATTTCATTTTGAGATCGCGGCATTCGATAGTGCATGTGATCATTTAAATTGTATTGTAGAGAAAACAGTCGCCATTTTGTTTGATCGATTCGAAACGAGTAATCACTCGATCACGATTGCTGCGATTTGGGCCCAGATTTTGAAATCATCGTACAGTTCCATAAGTAAAAGCACTATCAGATGTTTGCCAAAAAATGCCTCCAGCTGGGATCACCTGTTTTTGGCATTTGCTATTTTCGGAACAAGTAAAGAATACCCGTTTCGCTAGAAAAAAAAAAAAACTAAAAATAGGGGCCGATAGAGCTTTTTGTGCTGATTATAACGATACTTAAATTTACTTGCGGAAATTAAACCTAACCGCGATACCGAAGGTCAGAGATCAAAATTTGCTTTTTGAAAAACCGAAATATTTCAAAAACGAGTGAAGCGTTTGTAAAAGTTAATTTGCAGTTTCAAGGAAAATTAATACACCTTTCTTTTGGTGTTGACGCCTTGAACCTTACGTTTCAAATTTCTGATAAAAATTGGCTTTTATAAAAAATATATGAAAAAATTCCCTTCAAAATGCTTTTTCTACAAAAGTAGCCTTATGAGGGCACTGTTATAGTACTTTTGGTGTAAAGAAAATTTATATTTATAACCCTCACTAAGCAGAATTCTCCTTTCTGTGTTGCCGAAGAATAAGGGCTGAAAACCATTTTGCGAAGGCGGCCGAGCTTAGGAATTATACCCCTCACTAAGTAGAATTCTCTTTTCTGTATTGCCGAAGAAGAGGGTCTCAACGCCTTTTGCAGAGAACAAATTTTTGCGTAGGCGGCCTTCGGCCGCGCTTAGGGATTATAACCCTCACTTAGTAGAATTTTTCTTTCCCTGTTGCCGAAGAAGAAGGGCTGAACATCTTTTGTAGGGAACACCTCTCTGCGTAGGCGGCCTACGGCCGAGTTTAGGGATTATAACCCTCACTAAGTAGAATTCTCCTTTCTGTGTTGCCGAAGAAGAAGGGCTGAACACCTTTTGTAGGGGACACCTTTCCACACAAATGACCGCAAATTTGTTAAAATAAATTATAAAGTAATGATGTAACAAAATCGCCGGAATTGGTCAGTCGAGGTAACGTAAAAGCAAAATATATAGTAAAATGCAAAGATAAAGTAGTCATATGATACATCACACAAAAGAAAAATCAAATAAATTTTTTTGGGAAAAAATCCATAAACACAAATTTGTTTGCGTATATTTTTATTGTCTCTTTTTTCCACAAATATCATACACAAATTCACAAAATATGTATACCAAACGAAATATGTTTAAAATACCTATCGAACGCGGTGCTTAATTTTTCAAACAGTTAATTGGATTCGAAGATATTAACAGTTTTCGAAATCCAAAATTTCATCTTTTACCCTAAATATCTTCCACAACTTTTATTCCCGCAATATAAAATTGGTATATGTGTGCTCAGCATTTAAAACTATTAGACCCCATTCCTCGTTTTTCTCTATCGAAACGGTGGGTATTCGTTACTTATGCCCTATTTTCTTTTACAATTTCTTCCATTTCTATTACAATTTATTCTGAATGCACCAATACGCTTACCGAATTTCAGTGGGTTGGCACAGCTCTGATGCTAAAAAAAAAAATAAATAAAAAACTCTACGTATTTGCTTACATTTATTAGCGGCTAATGTAACTATTTACCAATGCGCATATAATACAGTAGGTATTATTACATGTTTTTAAATTTAATAGAAAATTGCACATATTTAAATCCTATGAGTTAGAATTATTTCCAATATAATGTAAATGAATTCCATGAATTTCATCAGTAGATTTATTTGTCTGAGAAGAAAATAACATTTAACACTCTTTTGTTTTATTTAGAACCATAATTAAAATATCAGCTTTTAGTTTATCTTGTTCCGCTCCTGGCAATTTAGCAAGATATGTATCCAGTAACCCGAAGAAATCACTGTTGTTGGTTTTCTCCCTTTCCTTTATACGCCCTTTAATGTATTCATTTAAAGTTCCAACCAAAGAATCGAATTTCGCCTGTGCGTTCGGGGCATGAGCACTTGGTTTTGAACGTTCTGCTCTTCGATATGACTGACTAATTAGTGGCTCATTTATTGGCGGTTCTATCAAAGCTTCAACTAAAAATGTTTTCGCTGCGGTTGGACTCTCAGTTACATCTTGTTCTTCAAACATATAATCTATGTCATCATCGCAAGGTCTCTTTAGTGATGAATTACATGGTTCTTCCTCGGATGCAAAACTGTCGTTATTATAAAAGTTTTCATCCTGTGACTCTTCTTTTAGAGTTCTCGTTGTGTCACGAGATTTTGCTGAAGAGTTAGATGAATAATTTTTCCTGATTGTTCTATTGAAATGAAATTAACTTAAAATATATATAAAACTACAATACATTCAATAAAAACATACATGCAATCCTGTAAAAAGTTCAAATCTTCCATATGCCTCCAATCACTGCTAGCATCGGTTTTAATTTCTCTAACATATCGGTCCCGCAGAGATTTCCACCGGTTTTGGCATCTTTCGACTAAACGGCAGGAAAATATATATTTTTACTGAAATTGCTGGGAAATCATCGGATATTTGTAGAATGCTTTTGTAGGTGGGAGCGGAGGGGGAGGTGGTGTGGCACAGTCCAAACTCTAAGTAGTCATCCTTCCTGCTGTTGTAGTAGCGGCTACCAAACCCCGCTCGAGTCGGCTCATCCGTCAACGTTGTGTTGTTGTTGTAGCGGATACAACAACCCCGCCCAGATCGGTTAATATCTCAGTCGTTGTCGTCAAGTTCCACTAACGGCAGCCCTAAAAAGCGTGCAGCCTGGATAGGGTCGGTCCACATGGGGACTAAGGCGTTAGGGTTGTCGGGTTTTCCGGGAATACGAAGAGATGTTTCGAGTCATAGGGTGTATCTCCGCATGCCCGACACTCATTTGGTACATCTGCGTTTAGTCTTCTCAGGTATGAGTTTAACCTTCTGCAGTAGACAGAGCGAAGTTTGGCTATTGTAGTTCTAGTCTTCCGAGGTAGATGAAGCTACGTCTCGTCAATGTCCGGTGGTTGTGCGCCTAGAATGGCATTCGCAGGTCTGGAGTCTACATAACTCGAGACTGACACCCTGTGAATGCCGTTCAGGGACTGCCGATAAGCTGACGGGTCCAGAGGTTGGTTAATGAACCTCTGGACTTCGTCCGTCAGTTCGTAGAGATGCCTCCTGACGTACCTGGGCGAGGGCTCTTCTGTAAGCAGCTGCCCATTTGGGTGACCACGTCTATGGCTCCCAACAAGGAACTGCTTGCAGAGCATTTTATTGTGCTAATTGATCGGGAGCAATTTCACCTCGTCGTGTAGGTGGTGTTCAGGCGACATCAGAAGGCATCCAGTCGCTATCCGGAGTGCGGTATTTTGCGTAGTCTACAGCTTCATCCCCTGCGTCCTACTAGTCCCCGGCGACCACACTGGTGCTGCGTAATTTAAAACCGGCCGGCATATTGCCTTGTATGTTGCCAGCAACGTTTCTTAGTCTTTGCCCCAAGCACTGCCGGCTGGCGACTTGAGGACCTTGTTGCGGCTCCACACTTTGTTGACAATAGCGGTTGCGTGCACAGAGGAGACCAGACTGTCGAAGCTTACTCCGATTATTTTGGGGTTATTCACCGCCGGAATTGGTGTATCATCGACGTGAATTCCCAGTGGTAGCCTGACCTCCTTCGTCCAGGTGGTGAACAAGGTCGCAGAGGATTTCGTAGGGGAGAGGGTTAGGCTCCTTGCAGTGAAGAAGCGAGAAAGCTCGGAGAGATACCCGTTTACTTTCGAACACAAGTCATCAATTCCATTCCCAGTCGCCATGATCGAGCAATCGTCGGAGTAAGAGACAATCGAGACTCCCTCTGATGGTTGAGGGAGCTTTGAAATATAAAAGTTAAACAGTAGCGGGGAAAGGACACATATTACCGACGAGTGTCGACCAAATCGCGGAGGTAACCGTTTACTTTCGAGATCAAGTCATCAATTCCATTCCCATACGCCTTATGGAGAAGTCCTAAAGGGGGCAAGGGGAGTGCATATTTCCAACAGAATTTATTAATAAATTAGTGGTCGGAAATTTAAAGTTTAATCCTCTGGCTACACGCGTATAAGATTTTCGGAATCGTGTCGCACATTTGACAACAACCCAAAATCACTGTGTACAATTAACCGAACCGTGCCCAAATTACTTACTTGTTTCTCCAGTTTCCATAGCTACACTTCGCCAACATCTTTTAGTGATTTCCGGAGACTTTTCTGATTGCCTGCTGCTTCTATCATATAAGCAAGGATATTGCCGAACCGCCTTAATCAAATCATCTTCAAACATGTTAGCTAGCTGCAAATGTCGAGTGTGTGTATATTCGTAAACAAATTTAAAATTATCCAAATAAGTTTACCACAAAAATTTATGTTCTCTTTTAGCATAAACAAAACTTTTTAGCTTCTGATGCCTATATCGGAAAAAGTCGATGCATCGAACATATCGATGTTTTGCTTGAAAGCTTCGAAAATTTTACACTCGATTATGTGTCATTGTGCATATTTAACTGGCCTTCTTCACGTGCTGGAAAATCTCCAAGGCGAATTTATACAAGGTGGTGTTGGCAGAACAAAAACAAACCTTACAATCGTGCTGTTCAGGATCATGATTCAATAATAAATTTAAAGGTTAGATGGGTACTCTTTATGAATTTGTACAAAGATTTTGGGTTGCTGTGCCCAAACGCGTGAATCGAATCAAAAACCTTTTACACATTTGTAGACAACAGTTCACGCTTTATTACAAAAATAAAATTTACTATAACTGTGCACTAATTTATTAATAATATCTGCGTTCGATAACAAAAATAGCCAACACCAGCCAACAATCAAAATCAAGAGAGTAAGCGAAAATTCTCTCCCAAAGAGATGAAAAAGCAAAAAAGTTAACGAACAGGAAATTAGCCATTACTTGCAAAAACCGGAAGAAGAAGACACACCAGCTGACTTTGTTTATGTTTTATTTGTAAACAAACTGAAATTCATGTTGCCTCCATAGAGAAAAAGGTTCGCCCGGAACATTTCTAGAAGTAAAAACTAGTTGGCGCTATCATAAAGTCACATAGCAGGCAGCTAAAAAGCATATAAATACCAAAACTCGGAAAATGCAATTTTGTTTGTTTACAGAAATTGCAACCATATGTTTTGTGATCATATGTTTTCGTGTTGGATAATTTTTGCTGACTAAAATTTTGCCAGTACAAAATGAACGCTTCTCTTGCAACAAAATGAACGCTTGCTCTCTCAATTTCTGTGTGTTAGATAATTTTTTGTCGTTATCGAACGCCATCCAGTAAAAATTTGGAAAAACTATTACAAATTTTTGACTTGTCGAACGCACCTTATGTCGGTTGGAAATATGGTATTTTTTGTAAGTTTCCGAGCTGAGCTGTCACCACGTAATATCTCTGCAAAAGTAGTTCAGCCCCTCTTCTTTAGCAAAACAGAAAGAAGAATTCTACTTAGTGAGGGTTATAATCCCTAAGCGCGGCCGAAGGCCGCCTACGCAGAAGTGTTCTCTGCAAAAGGTGTTCAGCCCCTTTTCTTCGGCAAAACAGAAAGGAGAATTCTACTTAGTGAGGGTTATAATCCCTAAAGGCTCTGTTATGCATACTTGGCAGTGCATGCACTGCTATACCATTTTTACGTGGAAATCAAAAACCAACAGACTTCTACGTATGTAATGCTGTGCGTTGGGTAACAGCTTACACGCGAAGCTCATTTAACGGATTCCTTATGTGACAACTCTCAAGCAATGCCAAGTATGCATAACAGAGCCTTAAGCGCGGCCGAAGGCCGACTACGCAGAAAGGTGCTCTCTGCAAAAGGTGTTCAGCCCCTCTTCTCGGGCAACAGAGAAAGGAGTAGTGAGGGTTATAATCGTTTTGGAAAAAATCCAAATTTCCGCTGCTTTCAATCAGCTCCCTATGGGTCTTCAGGCGAGGGAGGGGGGTGAGGGGTGACTTTTCATAAAGCGGCGTCCATCCTCTTTCGTTTAGGAGGGTTTGGGGAGCCACGCCTCCTCCCCCTCCGCCCCCAACCCTAAATCGTTGTACAAATAGCTAAAGATTTCCCGGTTAGATAATTATTGACAGCCGCGGTTTGACACTCCTTTACAAAAGGTTGCGTTTACGAAGGACGGAGAAAGTGGAGGAATTAAATCGCTTGATGCGAAAATGGTAGCAGAAAAGTTTGCAAAGTAGGCGTTACTTTTTATCGAAAAAAATTTCACCTTCTTATCTATATGGCAACATTAACAGAGTGCAACATTTTAGGGCAAGAGTACGCCATATGCCCTGCGCAGGGCTGAATAAATGCAACATTATTTCGAGAAAAGGAAACGATATTAGTAGTCAAATTCTTATGTATTTGCAGGAAATTTTGGCATTTTAAACGAAATATGGAACGAAATATTAAGGCTTAAAATTAAAATAAAACTATTATGATTTCTATGATAACATCGAATTTAAAAAGCAATTTATGTTTTCATCAATTAAGTGTGCTTTATACGCATCTACAAATAAACATATGGTACAAAAACCTACCCTTCTATTTCAAATGTAGGGCCCTATTATCGTTCGCGAGTCGAATTAAAAATTAGTCGAATAGCCCGATTTCATATTATTGTTCGCAGTTTGCCTGCTGCTCGCCCGTGACATTCGCGTCTTAGGTCGAATATTCAAATTTTGAAATTACGAAATACCATTCGACTAGACAACGTTCGCCTTAGCTTTCAAAAACTGGCGAAGGAAATTTGTGCGTGATAATAAATAAAATAAAATCTAAAAATATAAAAAATATGTTGCAAATTGAAAATAAAAGGTACATACATGCATATATTAATAAAAAAGGGTAATTTGTGCAAATATATATGTAAATAATTTTGACAATATTTAAGCAGCATGAAGAAAACGAATACGCGGCAATTTGAAAAAATGGTGCAAATGATGCGGGAGCATCCAAATGTAGCTCGAGGACTTGGTGCTTTCGGGTCCAATAAAAAGGATACAGTCAACAGAAGGTTGACTCTCTTCTAGGCTTAGAAAGAGCAGCGAATTCTGAAGGCGTAAGTCATGGTGCCAGCAACAGTACCAGTGCACTTGTTTCAGAAAATTGTACTGAAGAGGAAAATCTTCAAAGCGAGGTTGAAACTACCCCTCGCAGGAGAGTGCGTTCGTCCATAGTAAATGCGGATGTAAGGGAAAACGATCTAATTGAGATGCTGAAGCAGCAGACGCTTAATCAGGAGGAGTTACTAAAAGTGGTAAGAGGCCTGGATGAAAAAATGCACGACATTGGAAGATATGCGCGGAAAACTTTTGAAATTTTGAAACAAAAAGAAGCTCGTGAGGGGAGGGAACACTACGAACGGATCCAGCTGCAAAAGCTAAAACTCGATATAAAGCTCCGGGAGCTTGAGTTGAAAGAACTAAAGTATAAAAAGCATTTATAAAAAAATTGTACTGTTCAAGCAAGGTTTTAAAAGAAAGTTTAGATTCTTGATTACAAGTGAGATAAAAATTTTTTTGAGCAGGTCACCCATTCGGACACAAAAGTCCGAAATAATTGGGCAAATAACCAAACCGTTTATTACATTCTAACAACACTCATATATTTGTAAATATGAACGATAAAATAAAAGACTGCCAGATGTTCCTTCCGAAGCAAAATAATCACTTGGTTTTATTTGTGCACTATTTATATAAGTGAAATATAATTTTCTTTTCACGCATTCACTCAATGTAAAAAAAACATCAAATTTTTATCTCCAATTATTCTCTACTTCATCTCCACTATTCATGGCTAACGTGACGTCATCACCCGAAGGGATGCGCAATCTGTATTCTATTTCGAAAACAACCAGTGTAAAGCATCATAAAACTTAGAGAAAGAAAAATTTCAATAAAGATCGAAATTGTCCAGATGTAATGCAGTCTAAATTACAAATGTACTTATCTTCACCTCTAATACTGACTAAAAGTGATACCATTGAAATATGGCAAGAGTTGAAACAATTCTTTAAAAAAGAAAAGTTTAAATAACAACCGAACTTGTCCAGATATGATGCAGTCTGAATTACAAATGCACTTATCTTCAAGTAATAAATAGGAGTGGGTTAGTGAAAAACTGTCAGTGTATTGAAAATAGCCCCGTGACTTTTTCATATTAATGGAAATTTCGTCGTTGATGTCATCTGCATGACTAAGTGATCAATAATGACATTCAAGCGGCAGTATCTTGCAATGGACTTTTTATAAGTGACCGCTGCAAGACATTGTCTGTTATAAGTCTTTGATAGGAGTATACCTGTATGACATTTTCACCAGTGTCATTGTCAGCTATATGTCGTTTAGGATTCACAGCAGGTGCGACGATGTCACTAAATCCTCATTAATCCTGATACGCAGTTCAATGCGATGGTGATCGTGAGCTTTTTTATTTTAACCAATATCTTCGTTATTACTCAAATTTTCCTATAGTTGAGACATGAAAAGATAGAGAATTAAAATATTTTTCAGAATTATAGAATAAAACCTAATTTAAAATGCGTAATATGCCTTTTAGACGGCAAGTTTTGATAGCTGTGTGTAAGCGTCCATAAAAATACAAATGGAATTCTTTGCCTTTGCGAATGTTCACGCTCCCGCTCTCATTCAACTGTATATCAAGCTGTAGTGACGATGTCACCGGTGACCATTTTCGCTACTGCGAGAAAGGGCAAAATTGAATGTGTAACGTCCTGGTTACACAGTTCAAACATAGAATTCAAATCCATGAACCAATTAGAACAGATCTGACCGCTTGAGAAGCAGCCATTTGTAATAGCAATTGAGAAAAATGTGTGTGACGTTCGTAATTTTAAAGTTTGCTATTTCTGTTTTGCTTCTTTATTTATGTGTATTTTGTCGGTAGTTTATTTCAGTGAGTTTTAAGTGATTTTTTGTGTAAAAGTAATTGAAATAAAGTGCGGGGTGATTGGATGCAAAAACACGTACAAAAATAATAAATTGGTAAGCACAAACATGTGAACAACATTGCTTGCATTTTTTCTTTATGCTTCGTCTTCATATTCTTTGTTTACTTTTCACAGAAAATAACATGGCGCCGAAATTACAAACGTCAGCCAGAAAATTACTTTTTTCTTTGCTTCATCTTGTAAGATCTTGTGTAGTTAGATCATGATTCAAATCTGCTCGCATTTGGAAGAGAGGGTGTAATAACCGGCCGTCTTCACATGCTTGAAAATCTCGCTTGCGTTCTGCTTTTTTCTCTCGCAAGCGAGATAGTTTTGTTGACTGGCCATTTGACAGCATACTTTTTCATTTGTAAAATGTCGTTAACCAAGAAGGTTCAAGCTTTGCAGGCTCTTAAAAGTTTAAGAAAATTAGAAAATCTGCATAAAGAGATGTATACTATTTTCAAATGAAAAATGGCTGCCTATAAATTTGTATTTGCCTCCAAAATAAACGATGTTGCTACTCTGAAAAATTCTGCGAAATGAGAACACATCTGTCAAAAAACAAAAATGACAGTTGAAAGCGAGCGAGAGCTCGCATACCGCTCGGTATGCGAGAAAAAGCATGCTTCGTCCTTTTTGCGTTCTACACGTGCGGTTTCTCGCATGCGTCGTCACGCGACGAGATTTTCCAGCACGTGAAGACGGCCGGTATGAAGTAAAGGGACGACTACGCATGCGTCTGTGCCGTCGACGTTTCCCATTTAAAGAACCAAAAACTTGCTTCCAAGTACTTCAATCATGTAAATCAGGTGATACGAGTATTTGATTTTTGATATCTACTCAGTACTCGGTTCAAAAGTATCGATACCAAAACTACTTGGTGTCGATGGGAAAGTATCGAGTATGTACTCGTATTTACTCGTATCATTTCATTCCTAGCCGTTAGCGCAAAATTGGTATTTAGTGGTTTATCAAAAATTATAAATTTTATAATAAACAAACAATGTCATCCGAAGAAGGTATTTTACATATTTTCCATGTGGATTACTTGATAATTAACTTTAAATATATTTATTTAGAATTTTTGCGGTGGCTCAATCGCAGTGAAAAGTCATTCATTGAAAACTTTAGATTTGGCTTGAAAGCGTGGAACTCTGCGGAATTCACACTTTCTATTAAATACCAGCTAATTTTGAGTTGGCTGGCTTCTAAAGCTGCAAAACTTCCAGCCGAACAAATACCCCACGATGAGTTTGATGAGTTGTTGCAAATGCGTGCACAGCCGGGATTGATAGATCGAGTTACTAAAAAGGAATTCGCAGAAATGATGCTGGATTTAGCTAAAAAGTGTTTGCAAAATAGCGCACAACAAATCACATGCATTTGGCCAAAGCTTTTGTATCGATTATGCGAATTTGAAGTCTTGCAGGATCTGTATCGCACAGATTATGACATACATGCGCGTGTTTATTCATCATTACTCCATGGTTATGAGTTGTATTTAAAACAGTTTACATCGAATCAAAAGGGTTTAATTTCTGCAACAACGAGGGTTATGAACAACGCCAAGGAAAGCGAATTCTTTGCCAGCACCGTTGGTAATTTGAGAGATCACGTTAAAAGAACTGGCAATACAAAACGTTACGATCACTCCTACAGATCGTTTATATTACAACCGCTGGTGCGAGTAATCTTGTTGCTGCGAACACATTCACTTTGCTTCTTCGATGAACTATTACAATTAGAACGCTTGCTTACAGATCACTTACCAGATGAAAAATTCGTCGAACGTATTACAATCCTACCGTTGCCGGTCCGACTTGTAACATTAGAATGTGGGATTGTTAATAGACGTGGCGTGGAAAGTTTTCTACAAAATTTAATACAACATGTTTTCAAAGAACTGCATACAGAAGTCGCGAAACAAAATACCACTAAAATCTCACTAATGCTAACTGCAGCTGCTTATACTTTGGAAATTTTTCGGAAATATGATATTAATTTAAATTTCAAAATGGATTTAGGAAATCAAACACCGACTATGACGTATTTGGGCGAGCAACTTTTAACGTGCATTCAACAATGCAAACAAACGCACTTGCGAGAAGTTCTTATGTTATTGTGTGCTGCCTTGCGTCTCAACCCACTGATTTTGGAACAGGATATATTCCAGGTACTGTAAAAATTTGTGAGCATATGAATAGGTTTCTTTTAAGAAACAGGTATTAAACTCAATACTTTAATAGATAACAACCTGGATGATCGTAGCCGAAAAGAACGACACCGAAGATCATATTCTATTTAGCGAATATCTTGTAGCTCTAATGGATATGTTTCGTCGATTAAGTCGTGCTGAAAAACTAGTATTTAACTTGCTTAAAAGTCTAAAAGAGTGGTTAAATAAATTTGAAATATTATCAACCCGTAAAACGCCGAGGAATTTGAAGCGTAAATCGGGAGAAGGTGTAGAAACGCCTGCCAAGAAGCCTAAACCTTTCATTGCAACGTCGAACGATGAAAGTACTTATCTGCACATTATTTTCAAAGAGTTTTACAATATAGAACCTAGATCCACTATCAACAGCACAAACATTTGTGAAGGCAATTTTCCTTATCTACGAGCAGCATGGCCAACAGAGAGTGTTGGTGTTGCTTTTTCCAAATTGATTACCGGTCTCGTTTCGAAGCCCGCACTGGTTATTTGGCGATCACTACTGTACTCTCTAAAAGAATTACTTGAAAAATTGCTTAATCAGCCAGATGCAATGCGTGAAGAGAATAACCTCTTCCTCTTGGATCTTCACTCTGCTCTCCTTTGTGAGTACTTTTCTGGTTGTCGTCTGGTTGAGCAGTGTGATAAATTTTCAAACGAAGTTGATGAACAGATTCGAGTTACCGAAAGAGTGCTCGCACAATACGGACGTCTTTTGCTTTCTCAGGGGCATAATAGTCGTACAACTTGCGCATTTCTTGAATGTGCCTTTTACGTAACAAATTTTGAATTATTACTTTACTATTATCGTCCAGATGGATTCGAAAGTGATCTATTACTACGTTCAGAAGGCATACACGCTTTTTTAAATACAGAGGAGTGGACATCATTACAGGAACGAGTGCAGAGTTTTGGTAAATCGCAGTGCAAATTTCTTTTCAATCGGTTGATGCTACAACGCGCGCAAGCACAATCACTCGTTCAAGCGTCGTCGAATATTAAATCGGTTGATCTACAAAAGTCATTGCTGACAAGTCTGGCTGATGGTCAATTGCCGGGTGAACTTGCGCGGCTGCTTCAACAAGTACCCAGCACAAAGTGGTTTGTCAGTCACTTGAAAGAGAAACAAAAGGATAGCATTTTGCAGCAGCTACTGGATGCACCTACAGCAATTAAGGCAATTGCAGAAGACCTAGCATTATTGGAAACACTGGCAGTAGCGTTGGGGGCACGTTTGTCCCAAATATTCGGAGCAGCTGCCAAGGGTTCTATCTTGGCTACTTTGAATTGCAGTTTCGATACATTAAACGCGTATATACGTGCTGATCAAAATACGGCAGATAAGGAACTACTGAAACTGATTGCGATTGTTGATGGGCACGCTGCGGGTGATTGCAAGCTGAGTCAACAACCCGATGTTGAAGAAATACAAAAAATTATTAGCCTATGCCGACAATTGCCGTTGGGACATCTACGTAAACAAAGTAAAATTTTTGTATTCACGTTGTTTTTGGCATTCTACAGCGATTTAAATAGATTGAATTCAACAGACTTCGAAAAGTTTGCAGAAGAAGTGTTTGAGATCATGATAGGTACAAAAGCATTTAAGAGTTGATAATTTGAAACGTATTTATTTGCAGCTTGTTCGACTTCGCAATAAAAAATTTATACCTAGCTGCAAAATAATACTTTAAGGCCCGTTTTCTCATGTAATCTGTAATTTTAAAGTTAAAGGTTACTTCGGAAAACGGCCCTAAATGTCTTTAGTTTTCAAAATTGTGACATCATTTTAAATAAAACATCATTTCACAGATTTTCTGCACTTCGGTCAACATGTACCAATATTTAAATATTTCGCTTTAACAACAATCTTCAAAATTTTACCTGTTTCTGGCGCATGGCAGTTCTATGAATATGTGTTTCACACTATTAAATGCGAGGAAAAGGGCAGCGAACAATTTCTCGCTTCCTACGCTAGCAACTTAGAATCTACGCAGAGTTCTGATACTAAACTTAGCGATGATCAGCGCCGACTTTTATTGATCGCCATAGAAACACTTGCAGCACTTGGTGGACCTGCCGCTAAACGCATGCGTAAACATTTTGAACGTATGCTGGCTATATACTCCAATTACATAACAGCATACTTTAGCAAACACGCCGAAAAATCCAACACGGACACCTCAGTTGATAGTCATGCAAAAAAATATAAGAGATTTGTGGAAAAAACCTTGGCCGGTTTCGCGCCATTTGCAAATGCTTTACTTACAAACGCGTCTGCTGATAATGCCAAAGGCGAAAATAAGTCTGGAGTTATTGTGAATGATAACTTCAGACGCATTTGTAAAATATATATTGGACATTCGGTAAAACATATTTGGCATTTTATATTTTTGATATTTGGCTTAAGCAATATTAATTTTTTCCCCAGATGGACTATCGTAATCCACATGCCATACGTCTGCTGCAAGTGGCACTAAATCATCGGCAGTTGCTACACTTGGATCAGGACGAGATAGAATTTGTGCTCAGCCATTACTGGGAGCAATTGAATGCAGATTTAAACGCATCCAACCTAATTGAAGCGAATGCTTTAAAGACAACTGAGATGACTGTAAAGATGATCATTGGTAACAAGACAAATGAAGATCTGCTCTTAACACTGCACAGTCTAGCCAAGAATTTGGATGACTTGAAAGAGTTTAGAAATATATTACGCTGTCTTGAGTTGGTAGCAAAATGTTCATTTAGTACTATAAAGGGCGCTGTAAGTTTTAAATCCTTTGTCAATTCAACCAATGACTTACTTGTTTTACCAATGTTTGCTAGATTTTCAACGAAAAATTTAAATCTATTACTTGCAACATCATATTGAGGCTCGTAAAGGATGAGAAACAGCAATTTGTGGACAAGGAACAAGTATTCGCAATACTGGCAGCGCAGCAGTCGTTAGTCGAGAACAAAATGGTATAAAGGGCTAAACATTTATATTTTATGACTGAAATGCAGATTGTTGAAAGATGTATTTCTTTTGATATACATAAAACCTTAAACAATCCTAATATTTATGTACACTTGTGTAATTTTTTTAATTCTGTTCTTCGACCTCGGGCTGAAAAAAAACCAAAAATACCTCTTCCAAGGTTTTTTAGATACCTATGAATCCATCCTAGCTACTAAAAATCTCCATAACTACTTCCAGATACCCATTTCTATGGATACTATAGATGACATACTTGCCTTTTTAATGGATATCAATATTAAACGGTTCGCACTCTCTGAAAATAATTTGAGCACTTTTAAGCGATTGCATTGGTCAATGACAGATTTGGTTGGCGGTCTCATACGACAAAGACATGTACTTCTTATGGACAGAGTGCCACAATTTACGCATATTTTTAAAGATCTCATACAATCGATTGTATGGTATAAGAGTGATCGTCAAAAGGATGCAGCGTTATCGTCAACCGAGCTGGAGGATTTGGCAGAGCTGGCGATGAAAGTGGAGGCTTTAATGCATTTGATCGCTGCCCACAGTGTGCATGTCAAGCGTGTGGCGCCTTTTGTTCTCACATTTGTCATTGGTTTAATGGTGGCCAATAAACGAGCGACAACTTTATATCCGAAGGTAAGTTGAAACTTACATGCTATGCTTGGTGAATAAAATTTAAATATTCTTATTTATTTTCTTTGAATAAGATCAAAACTCATATTGATAACGTTTGTTACGATTTAATTGGAATTTGCGATCATCGTGTTGGACGTTTTATCTTGCGATGTTCTAATGAAGCCGCTCGACAAGTATATGAATTGTACGTTAAAGATCATAAAAAGTACCACAAATTCAAGGGCAAAGTGTGAATTCGTATTATACCTGTGCATATGTACATTTATTATTCTTAAAATGTAAGTCCAATATCTTGTAACCTCTTTGTTCCACAACATACATATGTATATACATTTGTATTAATAGGTGTGTAATTTAAATAAGGATTATCATTGTCGCCTTAAGAGTATAAACCTGCTAACTGAAGACAAAAAGATTATAATATTCTTTTTTGTTGCTTATAAATCAATCTCAAGATGTATATAAAACAAGTAATTTTTAAGCAAAAAACAAAACCGACTTTAATTCTCATATAAAAATTGAAAGATTACACAGGTTTACAAAAAAAAAAAAAGTGTATGCATATTAAACCAAACCTATGGCCCCTATTATGAGCAAAGTATATACAGTAATAAACCTTTTTGAGTACTCCTCGGGGGGTAAAATCTGATCAGGGTTGATAATGCGAAGGAGCATGCATTTTGTTCATTCAGAGTTGTATACAAAATTACTGTGGTATGAAAGGGAGCAACAACCGTACTATGGCAAAATGGCACAAGTCATGACTGTGTAATAATGACCGAAATTAATTGCAAAAGTGTAAAAATATTGCAAATTATTGTCTATTATTATAGATACTAGTACAGATTATCATAGTTCAGTGTATAACTTGTTATATTACACCGTACATGATAATGAACTGTTAAATGCTGAAAACGCTTATAACTTGTAGATGAACTGTATGGGCGGATGCGCTGGCAGGCATTGGGGTCTGTATAACTATACAAACCTTGTTTTTCTTTTAATAAAGACTTAAATATATTCGGAAATTTAGAATTTTGCTTGATAAATTCACAAAATTTACGTTTTTCATAAAAATATAATCTCATAATGGACTTTTTTTTTTAATTTTAAACTTACATTTAAGAAAACTCCATTCAGTGCTATAATTACGATTTGAGTTTTACAGTTTATAAAACGCAAGCGTTAATTATGTACTTAACTATTGATATCATTCTTCATTAAGCATGAATATCAGCATACATTAAAGATGAATATTATACTTAACCTACATCACAGTATAAACAGTACCTTTTCTCAGTTTTTCACCAATTGGTCCCCGAGGAGTACTTTTGGGTTGTGTGTGCCGTTTTCGTTTTGCGCGCACGGCAACTCTTACTGTGGGGAATTTCGCCTCATGATTAGAAAAGTTCATTTCGGGGATAAAATATACATAATTATGTGTTATTTATGAACAAACGATTCGTCAGAGGATGAGGGCTTAAAAACCTGGCCAGGAGCAGAAAACGTGAGAGTTTAAGTGCAGTCTTTCGAATATATTTTCGCATACAATATATTTAAGAAATTTTGTGATCCAAATCAATTTAAAATATATTAAACTATAAACAGCCCCATGATTTTGTTTTCAGAGATCGTGCCAACAGCGTATAGGGATTTTCTTTCATATGTAAAACCAGACTTTCGAGCTTGTGTTTACTATTCACGGCGTTAGAACTGCTTGAAATTAATACAAATTGTTTGAAATTAAATTTTAAAATTTAAATTTTTTAATTTAATTTTTTAAATTTTAAATTTTTAAAATTTTCTAACATTTCGCTACATCAACGAAAGCAAAATTCTGTTCGACAGAAAATTCGATACTCAACGAAAATTTCGACACGCTTGCATAGCTCATAATACGAATTTCACTTTCGATCTTCGATAGCCAGCGAAGATCGAAAATCGAAGCAACTCATAATAGAGGCCAAGGTTTTACATTCGCTGAGCCCGAGTCCGTTAACCTTCATAATGTCAGCTTCGAGGTCATTTGAAGGTCAAACAGGACATAAAATTTATTCAATAAAAATTTAAAAAAAAAAATGTTTTTGTTGTCACAGAAACCGGGTATGGAGGTCCCTTGATTCCTCAAGGTCATCTGGAGGTCATGCCAAGGTCATTCCAAGGTCAAATTCCGATGAATTTTATTGAATTTTCAGGTTTATTCAATGAATTTTTCCCTATTTGAACTTCAAATGGCCCCGAACCTGACGTGATGGAGGCTAACGGACCTCAGATTCGCATTCAGCATGTCGAATAACATAGAGATATATAGGTTTGGTTTAATATGCATAAGCTTTTTTTTTTGTAAACCTGTGTTATCATAAACTTCTTCATGCATCGCTGATATGCAAAAAGGCATAACTAAAGAAAATTCAAAACTCACTTTTTGATTTATATTATGGATTTCATCGAATTACAACTCCCCCCATCATTTATTAGTCACGGCTTTTTCAATTTTCGGTAACTATATATACACCCCTATTCTGCAACTGTTTCGTATTCGGATTTTGCTACGAATCGTAGAAATATATGCTGCAATCCGAATCGTTTTTTCGAACTTTCGAAATTCGTAACAATGGCATGCCTAAAAACGAACGAGTTAGCTTTTTTGCGTAATTTTGTACGAAAACAATTGTGTGTCGCAGGCGAAATAAAAGATGAAAATCGACAACTACAACAACAACAACATGAAAATCGATGAGTGTTTGCAGAAAATATTGGTGCTGTTCATTTAAACAGATAAATTGGCCTTTCGCATATACGTATATTTTTATCCACTGCTTTATATAAACGAGCAAACACCCCTATTCTGCAACTCTTTCGTATTCGGATTTTGCTACGAATCGTAGAAATAGTATGCTGCAATCCGAATCGGATTTTCGAAATTCGTAACAATGGCATGCCTAAAAACGAACGAGTAAGCTTTTCTGCGTAATTTTGTACAAGAATGATAGAATGATCGTTCTCAATCGTGAATTTTGTACGAAAACAATTCTGTGTCGGAGGCGAAATAAAAGATGTAAATCGATGTGTGTTTACAAGAAATATTGGTATTGCTCATTTAAACAGATAAATTTGCCTTTCGCATATACGTATATTTTTATCCACTGCTTTATATAAACGAGCAAAACAAAATCTTTGTTGCCCCTTATCAAGAAACTTGGGTCTGGTTTAGTTATTTGTACAATGATTTTCGGTTGTTGTGTCCAAACGCATAACCCGAATCCAAAAACTTTAACATACACGTGTAATCAAAGGATTCACATTTTATTTAAGATAAATGTTTCAAATTTACTACCACTAGCTTATTAATCAACTCGGTTTGCAATATGCACTTGTTTGCAAATTTCGATATGGGTTCTGCGCAAAAATACTATGGACGGCGTAGCTGGAGTGATATGCACAAGAAATGTTGTATACCTTTGACATGCGGAAGCCCCTGTTCCCCGCAACACAGAGAGGAGAATTCTACTTAGTAAGGGTTATAGAAGCAAGCGCAAGAGGCGGTGGACCTAACAAAGTGCATGTTTTCAATGGCTTGGAAGAAGCTGTTATTGCATTAACTGGATTGAGAACCAGAGCTTCAGGCATAGGAGGAGTTCTGGCTTGTGGTTCAACAATTCAACCAGAAGCTGACATAGATGCGCCCATGGTTACTATAGCCGACAGCTCTGCATACCTTTGTGATTCCATTGCCATAGCGTCCGATTGCTCTGCTGCTATAATTGCATATACATACATCAGAATCATTAACCAAATTTACAATAAACAAGCACATGATGGGTGTTTTTTCAATTCCTTGTTTTCCTTCATTCAGCTATTTTCGATAAACAACTGATAGCTGGCAATGCTGCACATGTTTCCGCAAGGGTTGCAGATGTGGATTTTTCGTTTTTCGTAGCGTTGCTACGTATTACGAATTACGAAAATTCCGGTTCTAGACTAAGGGGGGGCAATTATTATTTTTTTAAGTTGCCAACCAGTAAACCTTGCTCGCCACTGAATTCAATAGAAAAGGTATTTCGGTCAAATGGCGTGCACTATATGATTCAAAGCCGTGTTTGAGGAAGATTAAAAGTTGCCAATACATCATTGTTGATAACCAGGGCCGAGGAAATTAAGCAAGAAAATAGCGTTTAGACAAACACTAAAACAACGTGTCAAGTTAGCACTACACTTTTTGAAATTGAAAAAGTTAACTACGGCATTAATTGTAGTGTTTTTTTTTGTAAATTTGTTGTGGAACGAAAAAATTTGTAGCTCCCGTTTTTACGAAAAAATAGTAGGTAGTGTTAACTTGACACCATATACTTTGACGTTGTGAGGACTAAATGTTCGACAAGAAATTAAGCCCACACAACCAACCATAACGTAAACCAGCAATACATCAAGAAATGAACCACAGCAACACAAGTCACCCAACAAACTACAGCAACACAAGTCATAGCAACACCCGACAACCTCTTCGTTGCCATGACAACGCAACATCACTCAGCAACATGTAGCTGTGCGACCACGCAACACCAAGCACACAGCAAGAATGATAGAATACAAGATTGCGCCGATCAGAGAGGATTTTTGAGAATAACTTTTGTGTGACGTCACACTGGTGCAATTGCGAGAGAGAAATGCCAAAACGTGAGCAAGAATGGAAGAAGAAGAAAAAATGATGCAAAGGAAAACGTAAACAAGTTGCACCAGTGTGACGTCATGCAAACAACGATTCTGTCAAATTCGTTAAGAGAAAAATAGCGGTACCGAGATCGGCGCAACCTTTGTATTCTCTCAATCGTGAGCACACAGCCTATTAAACATAGAACACAGCCGCTCAACAGTCAGTCAGGACGGAGCTGTGGTCGCGTTTGAACGGCTACGACTGAATGGAACGATTGCTTGTGCGTCCACAAGACACACCACTCAGTAGTAGGGAGCCGTAAGTACGAGTAAGGAGCTAAATAACTACGACCGAACGGGGGGATTGCTTGTGCGTCGTTGATCACACCACAAGACATCACCGCTCGGAAGTAGGGAGCACCAAACCGGCTTTGATCACCGCAGCCTACCATGAAGTCGCGTACGGACGACATCCGCTCGTCCGCCATCAACAGAACGACGTCAGCAGGGCCAACAAGAGCGCCACTTACCGCCGTCAGCCGAGTGACGCCAACAAGAGCGCTACCTACCGCCGCCAGCCGAGCGCCATCAAGGCCGCTGGTCTCCAACGCCACCAGAGCGCCACACACAGACACGACAGAGCGCTACTCTCCGACATTGCGAGAGCGCCACATACCGGCGTCCCCAGAGCGCTACCCACCGACTGTGTTATAGCGCCTCTCCCCGGCGCGACCAGAGCGCAACTCACATTGCAAAAGCGCTATATACCGACGCGGCCAGAGCACCACTTACCGACGTTAGTAGCGCGCCACTCAGCGGCGCCAGCAGAGCGTTTCCCATCAGAACTGAAGCCACGCCACTACAGACTAACGGGCCCATAACGGAACAAGAAGCCGTTACCCAGCCACTGCAAGTGACGCCACCGAATTTTTGCAGTTGTTATTTGTTATATGTTCTTTATAGAAGTTAAGGAAGTTTAAATAATAAAGTAAAGTAAAGTTTAAATAATAAAGAGCTCCGAAACTACAAACTTATTGTAACGAACCCTGGACACGGCGAGTATACCCCAGCATTGTAGAAGAAGCGTCGGGGTTACCAAAACGCTTCGTTACAACGTATAAACTGAATGGGATAGAGTACGTTCACGTATGTCATAATCCGAAAAATGTGTTTTTACGTGACGAGTAATACGATATCGTATGTGACGATTCGAGCCCAGCTTATACGACGGACGGTATCACGTAATTTTCTTTGGTATGGTTTTCGATCCGTGAACGGATGTTACGATTCGAGCCCTGCTTATACTGCCTGACGTATGTATGTTAGACTCCATCACCAAAAAAAGTTGCGGTTTTTCCGCCGGCATTACAAAATTTATTACATTTTAAGACGTTCACCAAAATATTTGGGAAAAATATTAAGATTTAAGTGAGCTGGACCGATTTGAAAATACCTCCAAAAATGAAGTTTTTTATGAATAAAAGTAGTTTCGTAAAGAACTTTTTGAAAAAAGTCCCCTCAGATGACAAAACAGATTAAGCTTAAAAAATCTGCATAAAAATATTTAAAAATCTTTTCAACGGAATCGTAAGAATGAGATTTATGATGCTGTTTTTTTACTTCTTTCAAAGTTTGATTTACGAAAAACTTGAATAACTGGGCTAAAACTATTCTGATTCAGACTTATGGGATCTCAGTAGAAAGGTATTTTCACACTGTTTTTATTTCTGTCAAAAAAAAATCATTCGTGTCCAAATTTTATTTTTTCAAATACCAACACATCTTAATTCATCTTTGAATGACGTTCGTTCATCCTACCTTTCTCTTTCATCCTTTGAATGAGTTTATTAGCAAAGAAATAAAAAGCGTGAGAAAATACATTTCCACCGACAGCTCTTAAGTCTAAATCAGAAGAGTTTAGGCTCAGTTATTCAAGTTTTTCTTATACCAAACTTTGAAAAAAGTTAAAAAACAGCATAAAAAATCTTCATACGATTTTTTAAATTTTTTTTTAATATTTTTATGCAAATTTTTTAAGCTTAACCCGTTTTGTCATTTGAGGGGATTTTTTCAAAAAAATTTTTAAGAATCTATTTTTTGGAGGTATTTTGAAATTGGTCCAGCTCACTTAAATCTCAATATTTTTTCGAAATATTTTGGTGGACGTCTTAAAATATAATAGATTTTATAATTCCAATGGAAGAATAGTACCGATTTTTTTTTTGTATGGGGAGTGATGCAGTCTTATGTATGTATGACTATGTATGTATGTTGGTAAGGCGTTCCTTTTATTAAAAAAAATATATATATGTTTTTTACAAAATAAAAAATCTAAGACCTATTATTTTTGAGACGTAAAACTTAATTTTAATGTTCGGCTCCGGTATTCGGGCGAATATTGAATAGTACCTAGTATTCGGCTTCGGTTTCGGCTAAAATTCCAGCTTTGGTCAGACACTAGTAAATATGCCCGCAAAACAGCAAAATTTAGTGTACAGTTTATGTTTTTTATTCAGTTTATTTTAAGGATTGAAAAATTACAATGGACAATCAAGTGTTGCTTGATATTCTCAAATACTAGAGATCTGTGCTGGTCGTTTTAATTTTTTTAAATATTCGTTATTCTTTATTTGAGATAAATTGTTTTTAATCTTTTCAAGAACACCAATGCCTTCCCGTAGAGACAAACCATTGGTATAAAATTTTTGTTTCCATGCAGGAATGTAATTAAAGTTACGGGTTAATAAAAAAATTTTGTAAAATTTTCGACGAATAAGAGAACGCCAAAAAAATGGTCAAGAAAAATGTATTGAGCCAAATTTTCTTAAGCAGTACGAAGCTCTTAAGAAATTTGCTACGCTTTCTACTATGGTTTGCTAAAGTTTGTTTGTGAAGAGTACACGGTACTCTTGTTTTCAACAGAAATATATGCCACTTCCATTTCGGAAGAAAAAGTGAGACGGCAAGCTGTAAAATATCAGATGTCAAAACTCCATACACCAAATGCCTGCAGGTTCTGCAATTCACTTCCGAGTGAATTTCAACCCCTGCCAATTTGAATTCAAAGCGCATTTGATTGAAATTCACTCGGAGGTGAGTTGCAGAACCTGCATGATAATCTATGTATATATATTCGTGTTCGAATGGAATCGACAAGGAACTTTTTGATGAGACTTAATAAGAATATTGACTTGCTAGTATCGGAACTATTTCTGTATGTTTATTTGCCAAAAGTTCTATAACGGTTCGGCGCCAGTGAGTCATTCGCAATTATATGCTGCGAATGCCGCATTATACTAAAGCCAGCCTTTCGACAGAAGCTACAGTTCCATACGAACACAGATATAATACGCGAAGGGATTTTTTGTCTAGGACAAAATATCTGCACCGTTCGCTTGATTTTCACAAATATGGTGTCAAATTCGATATCGTATTACTCGTCACGTAAAAACACACTTTTCGGATTATGACATACGTGAAGGTACTCTTTGTCACATTCAGGGCTCGAATCGTAACATCCGTTCATGGATCGAAAACGATACGAAAGAAAATTACGTGATACGTCAGGCAGTATAAACAAAATGGGACAAAGAGTACGTTCACGTATGTCATAATCCGAAAAATGTGTTTTTACGTGACGAGTAGTACGATATCGTATGTGACGATTCGAGCCCAGCTTATACAGCCTGACGTCTCACGTAAATTTCTTTCGTATGATTTTCGATCCGTGAACGGATGTTACGATTTCCACCTGTAGAACAATTGAATTCACATTATTTAATAATCAATGCCATCATATCCGCACCGTTCGTTCAATTGTCCAAAATGCGGTGTCAAATTAAATGGCTTGGTTGGACTGCAGATTTGCCAACTTTAAAAATTATATTCTAATTATCTAAAAAAAAAAATCAAAAATATATTTAGGAGGGTTGCCACGTATTTTATAAGCTGCATTCAAATTATTTAATAGGTTAAATGAAATTTTAAAGGATGGATATCAATCGGAAGGGGCTTGAAAATTGAGCTTTGTAGAAGTTTACTCGGAAATAAATTGTATAACCTCCCTGTCTATTTCTGAAATATGAAAGGTCAATATAAAGACCTTGGCCTGTAGATGTTCGATAAGATTTTATTTTTTGAAATTAGAAAATTTTATCGGTACTGGGTGATCTAAAATTTGATAATATTAAAAACCGACTATGAGAAACGGTTGCACAAATTAAGAAGAAATATGACACTCGTATCGCTTATACCCTGATTAACATTTGGAATAGTTTGTAGGTTTTGGAAATCCTGTCTTGGGCGTTTTAACGCCGTGCGGGTTCACTAGTATTAATTTATTTCTTGACCGTTTTTTTAACAGGCCCGTACTTAGCTTTATACATTGAAATAAGCATGATCGTTAAAATTAACCTTGGAAACCCTGAATAACACAGCGTCAAAAATATTAATACCCAGAGGTTTTGACGATATTCTTTACTTTTTCCATTTCAATTTTTACATTTTTTTATTAAAATATAATTCATTCTACAGTAAAAACCAGCATAATCAATTTTTTTAATTTCATATAGAACTTGGGGAAAATTCAAGATATACCAAAAAATTTTCGACTTTTCAATTCGATTTCTTAAAAAAAAATTTTAGTGTGCAGTTTTGTAGGCAATTTAATTTTAGTTCAATAAGGTTCAAGTTTCAAGTCACTAAAAATTACCGTTGAGATTTTTTTGACAATGCGCAAAACCCTCGACAAAAAATCTCAAAAATCAACGGTAAATTTTATAGACTTGAGACTTGCACATTATTTTACTAAAATGAGGAAACGTCAGGGTACTCATATTTTTGACGTTGACTGCATGTATATTCCCTTCCAAATTTGTCGTTGAAGAAGACATAAATCTAACATTAATAACTAATTAAAAATTGAAATTAGAATAGAATACTGGGATTTTTAAGAACATAAATAACTAAAAATTTATTAAGTTAATTCGAACAAGAAAATTATAAATATGACGTAAAGCTCACGCAGGTATTACAATATATAGAGAAAAACAATATGGGTATTCATCTAAATACGGAAATGTCTCGTAACAGCGTAAACCTCGTAAATAAGCGGGGTCGATTATGGATGGCTGAAATTGTATTTCAGATGGCAACTGGCCCCTTAAAGTTGGCAACAGAGTTGCTGTATTGACAACTGCGTTTTTGTGGTTGCCGCGAAAATTTTGATTGCGAAAATCGGGCAGGTTCTGCAATTCACTTCCAAGTGAATTTCAAACCCTGCCAATTTGAATTCAAAGCGCACTTTACTCAAATTCACTCGAAAGTGAATTGCAGAACCGGCTGGAATATATTTATTTTTTTTTAACAGTTTCTGCTGTAGCTTTTTTTAACTCAAGTCATGGTTGCTGGTACTTCAAAACTCTATTATTTTCAACTTTTAGTACTTAACTAAAATTGCTATTTAATATATATTTTCGTTTCAGTGGCGTTGCCCATCGGCAATCCAACTGACGTTGCTTTGCTACCCAAAAGTAAGTTTACGAGGTTTACGTGGTAAGGAGGCATTTACTCGTTTAGGTGAAATGCCTTAATGTTATTCGGACCACTTAACTATACAAATACGTACGTATAAAATATTTTATAAGTTCTGAAATAAGGCGCACTTTTCACATATGGGTCTTTCGACATTGCCGCATCCACTGTAAGAATAGAAGTTATTAAAATTTTATTCTAACTTAAGAAATTCAACCAACTTACAACAATGAAACGCAACTATCGCATAAGAATATGCCACATTCAGCACATGAGTGACCACAGAATTCACACAACGGTTGAGAACAATTGCAACAATCACTGCGAACATAAGCATCACGACGGCAGCACTTTGATTTTCGGCTCTCCAAGGAAATATCAACTATTAAATCCGTTACATTGCTTGATGAAATTTCGCCATTTCCACGGAGCACAACCTGCCTCCAAAGTGGAATATCTGTAGTCGCCTCTGTTGCTGTATGCGTCAGGTCCATAGATTTGCTTTCGCGTGCTGCCCTAAATAGCAAATTTATGGTTTTTTCTAAAGGAATTAAAAATTATTATTATTAAATCAATAAATTAAAAAAAACCTTTTTCATATACAATGCTTTTATAAATGGATCAAAAATTAGAAAATAATATTTCTCAGTCCCATAGAATTTGTTCTGATAACTTTTGACATTGAAATTTTTGCAAAAGTCATTATAAACCATTTACGAGATTGAAAACGAAAAACATGGAGCATATGCAATACAAAGCATTAGATTTAATTGACAATAGTCAAACTACATAACATAGACCTAACATTTCTACAGAGAAAGTACTAATTTGAGATCGATTTAAAGCGGTCGTTATTCATATATCCACATTCATAACTATATTACCCTTCATATCAGTTGAGGTATATTACATGCGCCCCACGCTTTTCATTTTCAATTTCATAAATGGATTATAATGACTTTTGGTTAAATTACAATATCAAAAGTTATCAATACAAAGTCTATAGGACTGAGAAATTTTATTTTCTAAATTTTAGTCCATTTATAAAAGCGTTGTATATTAAAAAGTTTTTTTATTTTATTTATTTTATACTTTTTAGTCTTGTTTGTATAAAATTTTGAAATAGATATTAAAATAATTAAACCTGCGGTGAAAAGGGAACAGAAGACTATGCAAGCAAAATGTTTCCTCACGTTTAGTATAAACATACATACAGTGACGAACAAAAGTATTGGCACAGTGAATTTTTCGCTATATATGCAAAGGTTTTTATTCTAATTTATTTTCGATAATTTTTTATAAAAATATAGTTCATTCTACACCAGAAAACGTAATAATAAAAACTCTAAACTTTGTGCAAAACTCAGGAAAATTCATTAAATTTGCACACTAATTTGCAACTTTTTATTCAGATTTTCTAGAAAAATCCTAAGTATGCAGTTTTATAGCCCATTCAAATTTAGTATAACAAAGTGCAAGTTTAAAGTTGCTAGAAAATCGCGTTGATTTTTGGCAATTTTTTTATTGGAAGGTGTTGCTCATTTTGTCCATACAAAAAATAATTGTCGAATTACTTTGTATGGAAGAACTTGCGTGAAAAAAAATTACCAAAAATCAATGCGATTTTCTAGCGACTTCAAACTTGCACTTTGTTATACTAAATTTGAATGGGCTATAAAACTGCATACTTAGGATTTTTCTAGAAAATCTGAATAAAAAGTTGCAGATTAGTGTGCAAATTTAATGAATTTTCCTGAGTTTTGCACAAAGTTTAGAGATTTTATTATTATGTTTTCTGGTGTAGAATGAACCATATTTTTATAAAAAATTATCGAAGATAAATTATAATAAATAACTTTGCCTATATTGCGAAAAATTCACTGTGCCAATACTTCTGTTCGGCACTGTATGTACATACATACTAATAGCAGCAGTTAATTTCATTTAAAGAAATGGCGTGTCGTCCATTTCCGCTGCAGCGTATGTAATTAGTGCATATATTTAGACGCAATATTTAAGTTCTTTTGGCGGGGCGACACGCAGTGCGGCCGATTGCCAAAAAGCTGGCCAAAATTCGAAAATTTGAGTAATTCACTCGAAAATCGAACCTTGGGGGTTTTTGGGGTCGCTGATTACAAATTTTGTATTAAATGTAAGAAAACTCACCCCCTTCACCCCTTATCGACCACCCCCTAGGGTAAAATATCATGTATTATTGGGCATACTCAAGTTACATATCGTTTTCGAGGTTTTTGGGGTCGCTGATTACAAATTTCATGTCATAATTACATAATTTAAAATGGTAAATGCTATATGGCATCACCCAGAACTTTTTAAGTCCCAAGCGAGCCCACCTCACATAACTCAGGGCTTTTAACTTAAATCAAAGAAATGAAAACCAATTTTGATGTTATCACAAAAATTTTTATTACAATTAAGAAGTATACATAACACATGAATTAAGAGATAGAATTACAGTATAATATGATAATATCGCAGGGACGAAAGTACATTAAAAAATAATATTACATGAAGAAACTTCCGTTGTCCTCAAGGTCATTGACATCAATATCTGTTTCCGACTCAGACGTTGGCGCTGAGCTATTGTCTGCACTTTCTTGCTCTGTTTCTTCTCTACCAACAGATGGAGACGATAATAAATCAATAGTTTCTGCAGAAAGAGATTTCAGCGGCTTACTTGGCAATTTTCGGCAACTCGAAATATTAGGATCCGAGGCTACTAAAAATCGTCCTCCATTGTCTTTCGTCTGTAATTCTTTCTCGCAAAGCTGAGGCGATAGATGGAATAAAACTTATTGCAGGCCTACTAAAGTAGGCATGTAGTACCACTTGTCAGTTTGTAAAATTTTTTTAGCTAATTTAACAGTGTATTTGCGAAAATTATCTGCATTATTTCATGACCACTTGAGATGGCTTGCAACATAATATAAAAAGAATATATGATATCTTCATCGATGCCAGTTATTTTCGCAGATTGTCGAAATTTAAAAAAAAAATTACGAGCTGTATTACCATCGTTTGAGGTGGCACTTCCAGCTTTCGGCTTATCAACATTGAGGCCCAGTTCTGTTTTAAAGGCAGCTTGTATTGATTTTTTCCTATTCGCGACCGACTATTTTTCCTGTGCAGTTCGTGCTTGCCATTTTTGAATTCGTAATTTGTAAGATAAATGCAATAAAAATTCGAAGCATCTAATCCAACAATGTAAAGACGATAAGCCAAATTTCAAGTTGTCTGTATTAACTTTTTTTTGTAGCATTTCATCTATATCATTAGAAGTCTTTGAAGTACAGTTGCATAGATAACAACGCATTGCAGACATTGTGTCAGTTAATGAATTGCACTATCTATCATTGATAAAGTAAGATCATACTTTACACTCACGAGTTGTCCATCAACAGTAGTTTAAAATGGTGTTAAATTCTTTATCTGGTCTTCCACGTCATTTACTGTTTTTTTAGTCAAGTCCAGGGACTCTTTTGCACATTGAATTGCCATAGGACGACAACATCTTGGTGAGGATGGCCTAGGATTTTTCCAAACTACAGTTATTTCCTTCGTTTCAGAGTCTCTGTATACAAGCTGTAGGGGGAGGAGGGAGGGGAAAAAAATATTTTCGTCACTTACTTCGATTCCATCATCCGCTTTATGCTTGTAGTCACTGTGTCCAGAACTACCATCACATCCCCACTTAACGATTAAGATCAAATTTTCTTGTATTTTTTCAGATAAACATAGAACAACTTCCATTTGATACAAAATAGTACGATTAGTTGTGTGAACTAATAATGAATGCAATGTAACTGATGCTTCATATTCATTGAAACGAAGACCTACAGCCGGATAGCATTGTAATTATGCTTTTTGTATATTTTTATAGGATGGCAGCATTTTTAATTTTTTTTGTAGATGTGCATTACGCAACTGCTGATATTTGCCTTGAGATAACCCAAGTTCAATAAAAAGTGACAAGGTCTCGTCGTTCGTGAATGGTAAATTTAAATTTCCATACTCCAGTGGTTTTCTGTATTTTTTAGCTTTGGTTGGACTTCCTTCCGAGATATCTCGCACCACTTTTGCAAAATCTGTTTTACCTTCAGATCGTAATTTACTTGTTGAGTATAACAGTTCTTTAGTCGAAACAGTAGCTCGTAGATATTTGGTTTTTCTGCGCTTTGTTCGTTCTGATGATTCTGAAAAACTCAATTCTGGCCGACCTACTTTACAATCCTTTTCAATATTTTCTACTTGCGGATAAATTTTTTTCGGATCTTTTTTATCACCTTTTTCCAAATTAACAGTCTTACTTAACCAATGGGTTTTTTTTTAATTTTTCTTCAGTCCTATTACTTAAATCCCATATTGTTTTCATCTTACACACCAAATCTGATATTTGCCGTTTCACGTCTTCTGATAAATGATAAGTCGCATTTCGGTTTTCGGACAAAAATTTTTCGATCCTTTCATAAATCACTCTGATGTCATCAAGGCGAATTAATATAAGGTGATAGCAGGAGTACAAAAACAAAAATTTACACGTATTTTGTTTTTGCTTAGGCGGCATAAACTGTCAAACTCTTGTAAGAGTGTGTGTAGAAATTCAACCAAAATTTTTCAATTTGATATCAGAAGCCGTGCGGCGAAACACATACACAAAATCAGCAGAGCTAGTAACACCACCTTATATAAATTCGCCTTGGATGTCATCCTTCAAAACATTCTTTATTATTTGAAACAACTGCAACCTTGATAAATCATTAGTAGTAGACATATTGGAATCTGAAAACAAAGTTATTTTTATACAGTTGTAGAATTACGTTGACGTATTAGATAAAACTAGCGTTAAGACGCCAAAATTGAGCTTAACATTTTAAACAGATGGCAACACCATTCACAATCCCTTTTTGAACGAAGAGAGGTCTCACATGGCACCGGTATTTCATTTCCACAAAATTCAAACCACCGTGCGCCACTAAAAAGGTCCTAACTTTAAGAATTAAAACCTTAATGCACATTTAGAATGACGGTGCTGATCTGAGGACCTTCACATTAAAGATCTGATGACCATAACAAAGAACCCAGTTCTCCAAGACCTTAAAATTCTGTAAAAGCTAAATAAATTAGGCTTTTCAAACAGGTGGCAACCTTCTGCGAAGTATTTTCAAACTAAAATTTTTAAAGCTCTTTCGTCTGATACTTTGATACATAATTTAATTACCTTAATAATTATTGAATTTAATTTTTTTATCACCTGGAAACCCTCCTAAACAGTTCAGATATAAATCCGTCTCCAACCCATGAACGATTGAATCACCTCTTTTAGTAATTTATTTAACTTAATAATTCATTTAAATTTAAAATTTTCAACAGCTGGCAACTCTCTTCAAACCACCAAACAATATTTTGATGTTTAAACTGAAGATTTCTTAGCACTCTTTCGTTTAACACCCATAGTTTAATACTGCATATAACTAAATTCGGCTTTTAAAGCAGGTGGCAACCCTTTTCAAAATATTTTCA